GAACCACTGTCTAGTCGGTAGTGTATACCAGTTGAACTTTACCACTGTTTAGTCCGTATTGTATACCAGCTGAACTTTACCACTGTCTAGTCGGTAGTGTATACCAGTTGAACTTTACCACTGTCTAGTCGGTACTGTATACCAGCTGAACCTCTTTGATTTCATGTTTCCAATTTACAAGTAATTAACGATCAAGTTTCATTTGAATATTTAGTGTTCAGCATATGTTCATTAACTTTCGAATCCTTACAGATTTGGGTGTGTGCATTTCTCTTCCCCTTTCGCCACGTGAACTAATGTGGAAAACTCTGATAAATGAAAGCTAACAGCCTAATAACACAATAAAAATATGAGAGGTGCGTGCCAACGTACCCTAACTCATATGTCAGAACATCAGAAAACATTCTAAAAACTCAAACATGACGTTCAGTGTGTTCCGAAGCATTCTAAACGCCTAACCTTCTGTGTAGATACAACCACCTAGCAATGAGTTGTGTAATAAACGTAGCCTCACAGCGGCAGGCAAGCAATACTATTTAAATTTAAATTAATAGTCGTACTAAATAATTCATTAACTGAAATACCTCGGCGTTGGACTAACCCGCATTTTCTTTCCAAGAGATTTTATTTATAATTTGTTGTTTATTTAATCCAGCGTAACTAGTACGGTGATCGTTAGATAGGATTTAATAGCTAATTTACGTAACAAGTTTGTTGACCGGACCTCTACTGAAACAGTACTACAGCCACTAATAATATTCAAAACTAATTTTACTTGTAAATAATACAATTCTTGGAGTAGTAAGCACAAACGGGTTAAATATTACATTGATGTCTATTTGCATACGAGGCCACGACACAGTCACAATTTACAAGGGAAAAAAAAAGCTTTTTTTATTTACTCAAGTTTTCATTAAAACATATAACGTATGACTCAGTTTATTATCAGCCATAAACCATAACAAAGTTGGACACCTACAAGTCTTAAAGAATCATTGACAATGCACGCCAAGTCACGTGATTAGCTAGATGGTTTGTTTACGAAACGTAACCGTATTAAGTCATACGATAATTCGTTAAGTTTGTCTATTCGTTTTAGATTTTTTAATTTTTTATTTATTTTTTTGCGCAAAAGTACACAAAGGCCTTCTGCACATAACCTTCCCTAATTTTGAACTGATAGACTAGAGGGAAGGTAGTTAGTCAACAGACTTGGGTAACTTTTTTTGTCTGAGCGAATAGTGGGATTTCACCGCCATTTTTATAGCGCACTTACAGCACCAGATAGTGTAGCGTATTTTTGCGCAACAAGTCGCAAACCATGATCCACGGTTTGAAAGCCCAAGCACGTTAGCCATTAAGCCACGCTTGGCTTGATTCGTTAAGCGTAGTGTTACTAAGGGATGACGAAAGGGTTCATCCTTTAATCGCGACACAATGGCTGGTTATTTCTTTGCGATCATCCATAACCGCGACACAGTGGTTAGTTATTTCTTTGCGACCCTCCTTAAAAATGTATTCGCACATGAGAACTAGATTGACCCAAACATTGTACATACAGAAGTGTTCAGATATCATGTTTTTGTTTTGCAAGACAACGAATAAAAGCGTGGTTCTCTCCGACTTTCATTTAATAAGAGTGTCAGTATCAGAGACAGTTTCTTTGACCGGCTGCTTAAAGATACCTATCAAGAGGATTTATCAACAGTGTCAATAGAAAGAGAACATGTGTTGCCACTGTGGGATATTCTAGTCCTAGTTACAATTAAAGAGAAAAGTATACTAGATAAGCTTGCAAAATGCAACAGGCATCAGTCCCGAATTCAACTACCTTTAATTACACTATGCAAAAATAATATAAAATTTAGTAGAAACACCACCCTACGGCCGGCTGTTTGTGTGATATTAATTAATAATCCCGGTATTCATATCTCATTGGAAAAAATATATAAAAACTTACAAAAGTGAACATTTTCTAGAAAAATATTTTCCTGTGAAATACTGCATGGGCAAAATTGTCCGGATTGTGTTTATGTACTACTACCTTTTATTGAAAAAAACAACTTAAGAACTCCATTTTTTAGTACTATATTTACAAATTACATCAATAAATATATAATCAAAAACTCAAGTATAGTCCTAGTGAAAGTCGTGAGGAAGAGTACTTTTATTTAAAACTAGCTGGAGTACCCATCCCCTGGACGGAAATTATGTAAATTCATGATTAGCGAATTTATCTTAGGACATGAAAAGTTGCTTTCCTTATATGTAATTGTGAAAAACGCCCATAAAAAGGCAAAACTAAAAATGTGTATGTACCCCGGCATGGACCCCCATGCCAATTTTGGTGAAAATCCATCCACACCCTGCGAAATAGTTACATGGACATACAACTGACAGTACTATTATATTTACGTAGCTCGTGTTCTGTGAGAAAGATATAGTTGTTGCATTACTGTAGTTATTTTTCTGTCTGAATCTTCATTATCCAAAGTGTGAAATTTTGTATGGATTTGCTTGTGGTGCATTCAATAGATGGCCCCACATCGTATATATTATTTCCGTCACACACCGTTATATACACGCAAGTCCATTATAGTAAGATTTTCATTTGACAGCTATCAATCCACAAAACTATCATCTTAAGTGTAAAATGGAAACAATGAACTATTGTAACAGTGATAACAGTGTCGTAGAAAAAAAATTGTGCATACAAAAAAAAATTATGTGAAGGAGGGTGAGTTTAGTCAGGCAAGAATGAGATGAAACTGCTTAAATGACGTTTCGATTTGTCTTATAAATATGATGAATACATACAGTTGTTACGAATACACACATATTAGTTATGGCTTTATAGTTGTAGATAACTTTGAATATAATAACGTTTTCCAAGCATGTTATGACCAAAATTGGTTTAGGATATGCACTGCATATACGTATCTTTGCTACTGAAATGGAAGTATATGGTGTGATTTGAGGAGATGCGTGTTTCCATTTTCTGTAAAATAAATATACGCTAGTATTTGTTTAACCAATGTCATAAATCAGGCCCTAAATAATCCCTGGGGCTTTGGCAAGTTTAAAGTGAAATTTAAAAACAGATGCTCAAACGGATGTTTTATTGTTAAATAACACTTGGACACCTATATTAAATTCAGTATCAACTTACGAAAAAGAAAAAAAACATTCTGCATACTAAGTACTTTGTTCTTGACATTCTGGATACTTTCAGACAGAACCCCAGTCTTTATAATCTGGATACTTTCAGACAGTATATTGATCTTGATGTTCTGGATACTTTTAGAACGTCCCCCAGTCTTAATTTTTTTGGAACGTTTCAGACAATATTTCGGTCTTGATGTTCTGGATACTTTCAGAGAGTACCATAGGCTTAGTAAATTCTTTAAAAATGAAAGCACTATTAGCAAAACAACATTTTAAGTCATTGTAAAAAAACAAACAAACAAAAACAATTTATTGTAACTCTAACTTACAGAAAGAAATTAAAATTTGTGATGTTAGGTTTAGCGAATGATAAAATTATGCTCAACGTAAATTTTATGTTGTTTCCATGAGCGGACTGATTAAAGTGGAGGAAGGTGGAAGCTGTCCAATCAAAGTAGCTTTAGCTTCAGATGCTCTTGCTAACAACTGATAATACTGATCCAGTTTGTGCTGCATCATCTTTTCCACCTGGTTGGAAAGCAAGGAAGATGTATATAATTAGTCAACGTATTAATTTGCAACAAGAAAAGAATAAAAATTTTAAACAAGAAATAAACTTTTCCTTTTAATTACTTTAAATATTACGATTAACACTGTTAACTTTGCTCAATTTCATCTACTACCTAGCAGCATATTTAATAACAATACAATATTGAATATTCACCAAATACATAATTAGGTTAACAGCACTCTCTCCATATTTTAATGCAGTGAAATATTATGGCAGATGTGAGTTGCAGTATAATGGGCAACATGTTTAGCACTTTTATATTTGATTCCTAACAAACTCCAACCATTAAACATTGCAATGCTGTTGCAGGTATTTTTTGGCTGGAGCACTCTTTCTGAAGAGAAATAATTTTGTAAAGTGACACTTACACTCACAAGATATAATACTTGGAAGAAAGAAACCTTGCACAGAATGGCAGTTAGGACCACTCTTTAACCCAATCTAGAGCAACACCCTTATTAATAAAGTGAAGGCTATGGTAAAGAAAGAATGAGGGGATAGTAGACTCTTCATCTATGTATATATATTTATACACACACATACACATTTTTTCACTTTGTCGCTCACAAAACTTCCTGATTTCACCTCTTTATCCACAAGCAAGGCTAAGAAAAATTATTTCTGAGCACTCATTTTTATTGAAACCTAAAATCTGCCTGAGACAAACAAACAAATAGAAGAAAGAGGACCCTCCAATCCAAAAAGCTATTACATCAAAGCTGAACATATAAAGTGATACTGTTAATAAGATAACGAAGAAGGATTTAAAGTTGACAAGCTGAACAAATTTCTAAATCCATGAGAAAGAGATGGTTGAAAAAAACTAAAGTCACATTCAAACACATTCCTGTCAATATCTCCCGTGGACTTTGGTGCCTTTAATCTATTTTAAATGTTGTCTTGAAAGTTTACATCCACGTATAGAGGATGGACTGTAGAGTCTGTCAAGATGTGTGGACTTCACAGAATCTTGTTACAATCATTGTGTCAGAATAAGCAAAATCAACGACGGATAGTTCCAGCAGTAGTAAGATACATCATTCTTAAGAAGTATTAGCTCTTAATGTATCTGGTATAGATAAATGTTGTGTATAAAAAGAACTGAAGTTTATTCACATACACAGGCAAGCTAAAACATTTCATATTTAGTTTTCTAAATGACAAAACAATAACAACTTCAACAATACAAACCTGAGTAAGAACCAATCCAGAACGACTCTCAGATAGTGCTGCCAGAATGTGATCAAACACATTGTGGGGCATCCACACAGGGGGTGCAGTTCCATGAAGAGCATGCTGTATGAAAGAACATTCTTTTGGCAAAATTTTTCACTAATTTCATTCAGACTCTTCAACACTGTGCCATAAAATTACCATAACCACTTTATCAACTACTTACCTACAATACCACATGAAATATGTTAATTAAAACAATGCTATGAAGAATCAGAAAGCAATTAGCAAAGAAACAAAAAAATTGATGATAAAAGGTTAGTGGATAAACAATTTTATCTTGCTAACAGTCACTGAGTACACCATAGTTAAAACTAAATCAGCAACACTGTGTTTAATGAAAGTCACTGAGAAGACTATAGTTATAACTAAATCAGCAACATTGTTTTTTTTGTTAAATAGGATTTGGATAT